GCAATTGGTATTCAAGACGAGTCAAACAATAGACAGGCAATAAAACCAGGATCGTATTACCGCATTCTTGCCAAACGCCACATTTCCAAAATGACCTACATAAAACTGCCCTTACCTCACAGGAGGTCAAGTGAATATATCAGCAGTGACGACTGTTGTAAAATGAATAATTCGGAGGCAACAGATGGCAGGTTGAAGCAGAGGCGACAGTTATCATTCATCTTAATAACAGATATTCACCCAGGCCAGAATCTCCGAAAGCAAATGAGTAGGTGTAGTTAACATTCACCGTAATCAACACAAATCCTTATGATTTTGAGGATGAAGTAAACGAAATTCCACACATTTGCCGCTTTGATCCATAGAACCAAGAGCCTATCCAAGCTTTGGCAAGGATACAGAAAAAACGTTGACATTTTTGAAATTTTGTAAGAAAGGAGTTACTAGCACTCACATTTTACCGACTGATAAGAAACGACTTCGAGGTCCATCAAAACCTCTAGGAGTTTCATCACACATGGAACAAACACGTGGATTATCAAGATCAAAGAGGGCAATGGTCCACCACAACCCTTACACTGCCGACCAGAAACATCTTCCATCTATGCTAAGCACTAAACTAGGTGCTACCAGCTATCCGAAACCAAAATGACACACGCCACCCATGTGTGAGGCACTAAAATTAATTGTTTTCGAGGTGAAGGGTTGAAGAAAGGTGCTAACGTCCCCTTTTGATTTCGTGCTGTCTACATTTCTTTGCCCAGGATTGAGAGCATACGTAGCCCAGTTTGACAATTTCCCAATGCAGCACTTTGCACAAATACTGCAAACAAATTTCTGCAGTCAAACACACTGAAAACGATCAGATTTCGCTCCCAAATGAGGCTGGGAAAGCAATCTATGCATCAACTCAGTGTTGCTGTAGCATTCACGTACCTTATGCTGTTCGAGAAATAACCTAATCATCGGTCCCGCACAGAACGGTATGGAAATTGGCTAACTGGTCAGATACAAACCACCCCTCTGGGTGGGATAAACTATGCATTTAGGGATAAATTTAACGTGCTTCATGAATTCCATGAACTAACAAAACAGAACGACGAATACATATCATTAAAAGGTTGTACGCTTGACTTCCTACTCCCAGTGTCACATATGTGACATGGGTCCTAAATTTGAATATGACGAATGAACACGCCAAGTTGTTGCACCCAAAAACAAGCAAATTCAAAATCAGTAAAAGGCGGTGTAGCTTGACTATGTACCGGGGGGGAACAACACTTTAGGTCTCTTCAGCAAGGATTAAGTTGGTAAAAAATCAAATCAGGACTGTAAAACACCTAGAGTACTAGTCGTCGACACTTGCCTGAAAACATGACAGTGAATGCGTTAGGAAATAATTGAAGAGATAGATTCAAATCACACGAA